AATCAGACTTGTATCTAATGAAGGCACTAGATGGATTCTCAGCAGTGAATCTGCCTGCTATCATGATTGAGCACATGCAGAAGGTAGCAACTTTCAAGGATGGCAATCATGGTCTTCCGTATTGGTTCCTCATTACGCACGTGTTTATGTTCTTCAAAGTGCCACTGGGATAGTGCAAAGTAGGGACCAAGAAGCAGACCTTCTCTCAAACAACTTTGGAGGAATGTGAGTGCATCGAGAAGAATGGGGGGGGGGGGAGGCAGTACACCGACAATCTCTCAGCTCATCAATGCTCAAAACAGCGCAACTGAGGAGATTCGAAGATTGAAGGCGAGGAACGCTATCCTGGAAGGTCAGCAGGCCCAAAGGGCCCTGGGGTCAAATGAGGAGATAGCTCGTTTGACAAAAGAAAATGCTGATCTCAGGGCACAAGCGGAGAACCTGAAAGAGCAACTGCTCACCGAGGAAAAGTCGGCGAATGCCGAATAGACCTTAGTTCTCCAAACCTTTTGTTGCAGCTTCCATGCCCTCTACTCCTAATGCCCTTTAAGCAACGCTTTCAATGACCAGTTTCTGGATTTTCCCTTTTCTTTTTTTTAGTGACTGGGCAGCTGTTTTTGTTTCCTTTTGTTTGGATGTTGGATGGGATGTAATAGTACTGCTCCTGATGACAACAGTCCGATCTTTGCCTTTGCTGTATAGCAAAGGCATATGTTTTATCTATAAAAACTATCCTCTTTTGCTATCTAAATGGTTATGTTCTCCATTTCTCTTTTCTATCATGTTGTGTGCACATATGTGGCATGAGTTAGCTATGCTAGACTTCTCTATGCCGATTGCGTGCTTGTGTATCTTTAATGATGCCAAGTACAATTGAAATAGGGATCTGACTAAGGGGAAGCATAAACTCAGGGGGAACTTGTGAAGTTCCTGTTGCTTCATCTGGTTATTTCTGTTTAAAAATCTGTTATCAATGTGTAAGTTTTTCATCACCCAAAAAAGGGGAAATTGATGGGTTTTCATGTCTTAGCTTTATGTTTTGATGATCTAACAGACTTAATGTCAAAGAACCAGATGGGGAACCTGACACACTTGGTACACATTGATAATCAACAGACCCCAGCTAATGTGAACTGCTTCAACTTTAGAAGAGAGAGAACCAATACAAGGACCTGATCCCTTGTGTTTTCCTGACAGCAGTACGAAAGTAAACTGTGTATAAGTGGAATGTGACTGCCACAGAAACAGTGCACACAGTGCAACACAGTTCTGTAGTCACTTGTCTTTTGACCAACCAAGTGCTTACATCATTCAAGTGATGTCATCAAAGGTGTATAAACAAGAGTATTACAACAAAACATCACTTGAACACTTGAGAATTCACTCCAAGCATTCAATCCTTCTGAGATTCGTGCATTCAATTCTCAAGTGCCTCAAGAACAAAGTTTTACGCTACTACGGACCAGTTCTTAAATCTAGTATTTTGTATTCCTTAGTTGAGTTGTAACTATGTAATTGTTCTTCATTGTAATTCCTAATTTGCTTGTCTAGAAGCGTTGGTTAGGAACCCCTTTGTAAAACCATAAACCCTTTGTGTTTTTGTTGTGACTAGAGTTAGTCATGAGTTGAAGTCTTTGTAATAGGTGTATTGCAAAGTGGCTTGTAATAGGTGTATTACGAGTTAGTGAGGGATTAAGAGTTTAATTCCTAGATTGCATAGGTTGTAATCTAAATGTTGCCCATAGTGAAGGTGAAATCCTACAAGTGTAGGTCGTAGTTTTCTCTCCCCTAGAGCAGGGATATTTCCACGTAAAACTCCCCATCTTATTTACTTACTGTTTCATTAACGTTCTCAGTGGAAAATCATAGAGGACCCGGTAATCTATAGTTTTGTGGACTCATATAAACTATCACACTCCTAACATTTGCACCAGTAGTTTTACCTTATCCCTGGTACCTGGAACAATTAGAAAACATGTTAGTGAAAAGGGGCTCAGATTCCAGGTTCTTGTGGGTACTGGAAGTGAGTATGGGTTCAGGGGATGTGGGGGAAGTGGTAGCAACTCTGCTTTTTGATGAGCAACTGTTTGCAAGTTCTTGTGTTGATTGTATTTAGTTGTATATTTGTTTCTGTGGTTTGGAGGGAATTCAAAAGCTGCAGTAGAGACAGATGCAGAGGCAACTCTGTTGCATATCCATGTAGCCCTTCTGTGATGTAGTGCACAGTTAGTTTGAGAGGGGTTCTTGCATTCTGTGGGAAAGCTGTAGCATTGAGGTGAGGGAAAGGATTGTTCAGCTGATTTGTTGATGTTTTTTTTGTAGCAAATATACCACTAGGCATTGCTGCCTAGTGGTAATATATATATATAAATCCCAAAATTGGGTCCAAAACATCCAAGATGTCCAAAACAAAATCTAAAATGTACTAAGCTACTAGCAAGTGTAAAGGCTAATAAGCTATAAATAAAAGTATTAGCTACTACAACGTGTAAAGCTGCATGATTCAATCTCCTGTCAGTGTAAGTGAATCCAATGGCCAAAGGCAAATACCAAGCAGCACCTCCAATGCTCTCACCAGGCGCAAGGGTATGCATTCCAAAGGCAAATATGGACTCCAAACAGCTACACCAATCGATTGAAATTAGCAAAATCTCCCCATCTTTCATGTTGATCCAATGAGTTCCATTCTAGCAAAACCATTCAGAAAGTTTGTCATCTGCTCCCTCAACACTAAGGTCATGCATACTGCATTATCATCTCCAGAATGAGTGTGTAAACACGCCAGCTATACCACTTGAAAAGATGACAACTCAATATACATGTAAATACTAAGTAAAACAAATACAGAAATGGGTTGTGAAACAGATGAAGGAACAAATGTGCAGATTCAGCTTCCTCTTTGTGTGCTATGTACTTATGTGAGACCATTGCATTTTGATCTCTTAGCCTGTACTTATCAGTAGCCCTACTTAAACATATCAGACAAAGACTAACTACTACTGCCAGAACTATTGAGGCATGACCCCTTCTGGACATTGCCATCACACCCCCAGAATGAGCATGAAATCGTGCTGATACCACTGGGAAGTGTAATACCAATCTCCAAAAACTTACAAGAACAAGTTCAGGCAGTATTCCCCTTCAATCACCTTCTTCATCACTAATGAATCTGTCTCCAAAATGAGAGGGTGAATGTTATGTTCAACACAATATTCCACGTCCCTTAGAAACAATCGGCCCTAGCCTCAGCTGCTACTATTTGTTGTCCTCCCCCAAGTCGACTGACCTTGCATAAATTACGGTCCCCTTCATCATTCCTCACACAGAATCCAAGTGAGCTAGGGCCTGGATTACCCCTTGATGCACCATCTGTATTGCATTTGTACCATCCTTGGAAAGGAAGCTGCCAAGTAACTCTCCTTGTAATTATAACAGGCTTCTATCCTTCAAAATACTGGATCATATTTGGCCATAACATAGGAATATTAGGTAGCCAACCATACCTCACCTTTGCCAAATAATGTAATGTTATATTAAATTCATGGATCACCCTATGTGTAGAAACTGAACCTCCATGTTTTCCTGCATTTCTCTTCATCTATAACTCCCAAGTAATAATAGCTGGAACTGCTTGAAATAGTGGCTTTAGTTTTGGACAACACTGTGCATTCCACCAATGTCTGATCACTAGCTTCAACTGCACCAATGGCACTGTGATTCCTGTAGCTCCCATGAACAAATTCCACACTTTAGAGGTAGTAACACTTGTGAGGAATATGTGCTGCATAGTTTCTTCTTGTGGCTGTTGACAACACCAGCATCTAGACATCACCATCTGCCCTTGTCTCTTCCAAATATCATCAGTAGCTATTTTCCCCCTCCATAGTCTCCATAAGAAGAAAGATATCTTGAAAGGAAGCCCTTTTATCCACATATGCTTGAATTCATGATTAGGATTAGATCTATGTCTTATAATTTGCCAAGCACTAGTCCCACTGAACTTACCTAAAGAGGTTGGCATCCAGTATGGCTTGTCCCAATGCTCCTCACTTCCCTCATAATGTACATTAGACCTGACATGATCAGCAATCTCCTCAATAAAGTTTTGTTCCAGTAGATCTTCATTCCATGTTCCTTCCAGTCTTAATTCTGCTACATCTTGTAGATCTTCATTGATAGGAAAATCTTCATGAAGTACATGATATAGAGCTCCCAAACCTGTCCAATTCTCATGCCATATGTTTGTTGTTCCACTCATCAACTCCCATAGAAGCTCATGCTCTACATCCTCCCTAGCATTTAACATTTGCTTCCATACATGGGATCCTTTTCTAAACTGGACTACTGTTGGCAACTCCTTCTTACAATATTTGTTGCACATGAAGTTGGACCATAGTGACTTTGTAGTTCTAAACATCCACCAAAGCTTAGCAAACAATGCCTTAGAGAAATCATTTAGAGATCTGAACCCCAATCCCCCTTCTTCTTTGGGTAAACATAGATCTTGCCGTGAAGACCAGTGCCTGCTTCTTCCCTCCTCCTTTGTGCTCCTGAAAAAACTTGCAAACAACTTATGAAGATGTACTAAAATGTTATTTGGAGTGTCCAGAACTGAGAGCATATGAACTGGCATGCTTTGCAACACACTAGATATGAGTGTTGCTTTCCCCCCAAATGATAGTACTTACCTTTCCATAAGTGTAGCATAGCTTTCACCTTCTTGATAAGATCATCATAATACTCCTTCCTCCTTCTAGTGTAGAAAATAGGGCATCCAAGGTATGTGAAAGGGAATTTACCTCTTGTGAAACCAGTAATATCCTCCACTGCTCGAACTAATCCATGTGCTACCTTAGCATGCATGTAGTAGGAACTCTTTGCTTTGTTTATCATCTGAACTGACACTTTCTCATAATCACCCAACACTTTCATTATTTTGCACAAAGATGAAGGATGAGCAGATGCAAATACAATGGTATCATCAACATATGCTAGATGATTCAAGGATCAAACCATTTAGGCATCCCAAACCCCACAAAAGATTTATCATCAAACAGTTTGTTTAATGATCTTGATAACACCTCAACTGATAGTATGAACAATGCTGGAGATAGGGGATCACCTTGCTTTACCCCTCTAGTTGACTTGAAAAATCCTGAAGCTTGTCCATTCACCAATACAGAATACCAATTGTTTGACACCAAATTCCAAACCATGTTAATGAAATGTTCTGAAAATCCCATCCTTCTCAACACATGTAACAAATATTTCCATGAAACTCTGTCATAAGCCTTAGCCATATCCAGCTTAATAACCACATTAACTGGCTTGCCCCTTAGCCTTATATCTGTCACTATCTCTTGTGTCAATAATATGTTCTCAAAGATACTCCTACCCTTCACAAATCCTGATTGATTAGGAGATATCAGTAATGGCAGAAACTTCTTCAATCTGTCATGTAGCACCCCAGACAACACCTTGCTAGTAAAATTGCTCAAACTGGTAGGTCTTAGGTCAGAAAAAGTCTCCACTCTAAGCTTCTTTAGCAATAAGACTAGATTAGTGTGTGTTATGGATTTTGGCAGTGTTGCTCCCCCATAAAAGTGCATTACCATATTATGTATGTCTCTACCAACGATATCCCAGCAAGATTGATAGAACAAACCAGTAAATCCACCAGGACCACCAGCACTTTCCCCACTTAGTTCAAACACAGCTCCTTCCACTTTTTCAAATGTTGGCAGCCTACTTAACTCCATATTCTGCTCCAATGTAACCATGGATGGACATTATCTAATAAACTGAAATTAGAAGTATCACCTTTATTAGAGAACTGTCTTCTATAGAACTCCACTGCAACATCAGCCATTTGCTCTTGATTTTCGATCCACACCCCACTAGAATTTTGGATCCTTTTCAATTGCAGCTTCTTTCTTTTTCCATTCACATGATTGTGAAAAAAGCTAGTGTTCCTGTCCCCTTCAGCAAACCAATTCAGACCAGCCTTTTGCTTCCAATATTGCTCCTCTATGCTCAGATATTTCTTCAACTCTAATCGAGCCTTTTGTAGTACAAATCTATTTTCAATTGTTGGTTCCTCCTCAAATAGCATCTCCTTGACCTTAACTATATCTTCCAGTATAGCCAATTGCTTGAATATATCTCCAAAAGTGTCCCTACTCCTCTTTGATAGAGCTGCCTTTACTTTCTTGAGTTTTTGCTTGAATATAAGAAAAGGATCACCTATGAAGTCAGCTTCCCAATTCTGCTTCACCACCTCCTTGAATGTAGATCCAGAAATTTAAAAATCTGAATGGCTTGACACAATTGACAGTTTGCTCACCACAAGTCATCAGCAAAGGAGCATGATCTGAACCAGTTCTAATAAGGTGTTCCACTTCAATAGTAGGCAACATATTCTGAAAAGGCAAATTCACAAATATTCTATCCAGCCTCTTGAATATACACTGAGCATTAGGTCTCCCATTCCACCATGTAAATGGACTCCCTTTGTACCCTTGTTCAAACAAACCACAAGAGTTTACACAAAAGGCAAAGTTCTCATATTCAGGAGGATGTACAGGCAGTCCCCCTATCTTCTCATCTTTATGCAACACTACATTAAAATCTCCTCCTACCAACCATGGAAGCTCCATATCACTTGCTAGATAGTACAAATGATCCCACAATTGTAGTCTCTCCATTGCTGAAGATTTGGCATAGACAAATGTAATCATCATGTGCTGTCCCAACTCATGATGAAACACTTCCACAGTTACTTGTTGTTTAGTATCCTCCACCAGTTCCCATTCTACTACTGAATCAAAAAATAACCATATTTGCCCATTAATATTTGCATAAGCAGTCTCCATATTCAGCCTTCTTCTATATCTATTAATGAATCCTTTCTTTTGAAAAGGTTCCATCAGTGCAACTACACAAAAATTATGCTCCTTATTCATATTTCTCACTCTAGGAAGGCCTGTTGAGTTTTCACAGACCTTATGTTCCAAATGAGTGTCTTAATCATCATCATTTACTTAATGAGGCTGCCCTCCTGGGCATAATTCTTGTAGGTTGAGCAGATTCTTTATTGTAATTCTTCTTTGTCTTCTTACCTCCCTTAGCACTGGCTGTAGGTGATTGGTCCCCTTCCCTAGCCACTTGCTTGAAATTTTCAACAGTTGATTCATCATCTCCTTCATCCTCCATTGTATTTTGGCCTAGGATTTCTTCATCAATTGGTACCACATTATGTGTAACAAGATCATGCAGATGCTGAAGTGGAGTCCTCAATGGAACATTGAGATGCAATTGCATGATTTTATCAGTTCCAGACTCCATTGGTACCTCCTCTAGATCCCCAGACTCTCTTGGTACAATTGCTTGCTCTAACTGTTCATTACTCAATTCGTTCTCCTTGGCCTGCTCTATGGTAGTAATAGCAGCCTGCATCAATTTGAATTGCATCTCATAGACATTGCCAAGTCCAGGATTTACTGTAGTTGCCTGCACAGGAATTACTGTTCCATTGGATTTACCCATCTTCCCTTGTCATGTCTGCTGCTCTAACCTCATTGTCTTATCTATGACCTTCATAGGAACATCTTCACCAGGTCCCTTCTTCAATGCATAGATAGGAACTCCATCTACATATGCCAAAATAGTCACAGTTTTTTCAGAAGTTATTGTTCCATTGCCCTCCCACTTGCTCTGAGCTGTTTGATCTGACCTATATAGATTTCCAGCTTCCCTAGATGCTCCTTTACCATCTCCAATTTGTTTCCCATCTTGATCCATCACAGAATTCAAATTTTCCTCAACCCTAGTTTTGGAACTGCTAGGGTTTACTGTAGAATCTTCAGTAATTCCAGTTTTTTGAGTTTAGGAGGTAATCTTCCTTGCATTGTCTCCTATCACTTGTTCCTCCCTCTGCTGATTCTCCAATACCTCAACTTCTTCATTCCATAAAGTCTTAACTGAATTAACCTCATTGAGTTCATTTATATGCCCGGAATCTTCATGAGTTTGGGAAGGAATATCTTGCTATGACTTATTGGTAGTCACATTGCACTGCCTTAATTCCTCCTTATTTGTCCCAAATCTCCTATGCACCCAATCTATGGTATTTTCCTTTCTAGTTTCAACATCCGTCCTTGTATCAACAGGAATAAGAGCTGCCTCCCTTTCCTTATTTGCATTCTCCACAGCTTCCTTTTTTACTTTTCTCAAATCAAATTCTTCCTTATTTAGAGATGAATTTCCACCTTCCTTTCCCGGTTACTTACTTGAATCACCTCCCCCAATCCCATTAAGAGTAGGATTAGATTGATCCCTTCCATTCTTCTTCCTTTCCTGCTGCTGGTCCTTGATTGTTCCCTTAAATGCTTTCTCTTTCCTTTCATTGTTGTCCTTACCATCTACACTGCCATCAGTAATTGTCAATATTGGTTGAACATCTTCCTCTACTTCTAATGCTTCAAATTTGTTTTTGGACACCACTGCCTCCTCCATAAGCTCCCCTTTGCCCTTGTTGTCCTCTTTTACCTCATTAATAATGTAACCTCTTTTATCTCTTTGATATTTATTCTTCCTAGCTTGCATCCATTCCTGTTTAGCATTGTTATTGGCAGGCTTTCCAACCACTTTTCCACTTGATAACACCTTGGTTGACTGTGCAGCTGTGCCGATAGCATTAGAACTCACCACCATTGTCTTCTCCTTGCCTTGTTCCTTGCTCTCATCACTGAAACTTTTATGCAATTCTGGGTGAACTACCCAGCATTCCATCTCACTATGGCCTTATTTCTTGCATGTCTTACAATACTTAGGCATGTAGTCATACCTTATTTTGATCCACTTCGATTCCTCAGGTCCAGTTTCATCAGCTTTTTCAATGATCTTTATCCTTTGGGGCAGTGTTGCAAGTAGACTAACCTCCACCTTAACCTTAGCACAACTAGGTCTTGTGCCATTTTGAGTAGCCAAATCAACATGCAATGGTCTACCTACTGCATTAGCCAACGAAAAGACAAAGTTCTTACCAAAAAAATTAGGAGGAAGATCTTGAAAAGATATCCAAGCGATGGCAATTGGTGTCTCAACATCAGGAGACCACCAAGGACTCCACTTTGTACATCTCATCTGCCAGAATTCACCTCGAGCTTTCAAATAAAAAGCTGGCTTCGATAACAAGTGAATATAATCCTCCATTAACGATAACTTTATCAAAACATGCGAATCTTCAATCAAACCAACATAACATGGTCCTTTGAGCTCACACTGAATTGGAATTGCCTTCCTCAATTCTTGGATCACAGGTTTGCCATATGAAAACTTGCCCAGGACTGCCAAATGCAATCCTTGTTGGATTATTGATTGTTTAACCTCAATTTTCTTCCATCTCACCATTGGTTCTCCATGTAGAAACTCGACTGGTTTTAGGTTTACACTGTTCACGTGCATGGGAGCATTTAATGCTTGTGGCTGGAGCAATTTTGCGTAGTTTTGATTTTGATTAGGGTTAGTAGTTGTTTTGGGGATTGGCTTAGGATCAGAAGACGACCGCCCAACCTCCACTGAAGGCTGGGCAGTGGCCGGCGCGGCCATGGGAGCTCTTTTTCTCTCTAGTCGCCTCAAGATCGTCCAAAATTGCCAGAGCTTCTCTCTCTAGGCGTAGGGTTTTTTTTGCTCTTTTATCTTAGTAGTTTTTTTAGTCGCTCCGATTTGTTGATGTTTACTGCTAAAACTGTTGCTTTATTTTTGGTTTTTTTGGGGATTTCTTTTATAGAATGACTGTTGGCCTTATTCCATTGATGTTGTGCTTTAGCCAATTGGTGTATTTTTAGAGGAATAAGAATCATAGATACTAATACCACACTCTGAAAATATGTCAATTGGCTGAGCAAGATGGAACAACAGGAACCTGCAAACATGGTTAGAAAATTTTTTGGCATTTCTGCCCAGTTTTTTGGATCTGTTGTTATCATGAGGTTCCTATTTGTTTGCAATCAGTCCCTTGTGTATACTGATGCATTTTGAATGAAGGTTGGTGTTTATTGATTTATGTTTGTGAGTGTATGATTGTTTATGAGAGTGTATCTATTAGTTCTTGTGTTTGGAAATAGAGAAGGTGGTGCTGTTGTGTGCTTTTATGATTGGTGAAGTGAGGGGGTTACCGTGAAATTCCACCGCATGCCTTAGAGGGTGGACTTTCTACTCTTTACAACCTACATCAGTCCTTTGTTGTGATTCTAGGAGGATGAGCCCATAGGCTAATACCACACCCTGAAACAACAACAAAGAACTGGGTAGTTCATAAGAGAAGACAACCTGTAAAAGAACAAATTGAGTTAGTGAAAATCCCATGATTACACATTTCCACATGATGGAGGAATTGCTTGGACCATTATGTCTGCTCCCCTTTTTAAAAAAGATGTTAACCATTACCATGGGAGTAGGATAGGGATGCCACTTAAGGGTTTATAAACTTCTTGGTCAGTTTATGCCTGAAAGATAGGATGTCCATTTTGTTTAGGTGAATTTGGCCTCTAATGTGAGAGGGGAGCTCATTCATATTGGTGAGTGGGTGATGTTTGGAAGGGTGTGGCTAATTTTGGAAAGTGAGTCAGCTGGAGTGTTGGCTTCTTTGTGGGCATGAGTGTATGTAATAGTTTCACATTGTTGACAGAGTTGCCTGAGCTTTTGAATGGGCATGTTCAGAGTCCAAGGGGTACTGCATCAGTTGTCAACCAGTCGATTAACAACGCAGAATCAACTTCAAGGTGGACTTTGGTGAATCCATTCTCAATACACCAATTGATGCCTAATGAAGCTGCTTCAGTTCAGCCAAATTATTGGAACCTTCCCATAAGGGATATGCAATTGTATGGATAAATTGACCATGGTGGTTTCTGATGATGACACCCCCTCCAATCTTTCCAGGATTGGTCATTGCACTCCAATCATAATTGATCTTAACAAAACTATTGTCTGGTTTGTTCCAAATCACTTGAGTTGAGGTAGTGTGATGCTGAAGATTTTCAGTAAAGGCATAGAGTTCCCCCCAGTTGAAAGGCCATTGGAGATCAGGAAAATTGGATCTTAGGAGTAAGTTGATGTCAGAGTTGATAGAGTAGGGGACTCTAGTCATGGAGGTGATTTTTGCCCCATACATTGCACTATATCTATTCTTCCACAAGTTCCAGCAAATGATAATAGGGAGGTATCTCAGATGAGCTTTTGCACAGAGTTGTGAGTCTTCAGCATCCACCATTTCATAAGAAGCAGCCTTAGAGACAGGTTTTCAGTTTGAATACCTACATAGCCTCCATATTTCTTCTATATGACTCTTGCAAAGTTCCCAGAGCTGAAGAGGTGGTCAACTGTTTCTAGAGCATGCATAGAACAACATACACACCCGGTAACTATTGGACTGCTAAAAATCTGCACTTTATCTTCTGTTGGGAGTTTGTTTCTAAGTGCTCTCCACAAGCAGAATGACCACTTGAAAGGGATCTTCCTGTGCCAAGTCATTCTGTTGGGAAGTTGGGGGGTTTTCCGTTCTGATGAGATCCTATGCAGAAGCACAGGTGAAATTGCCCTTGATAGTAGGTGTTCAGATGGGTTTATCAGGAAGGTCAAGGTTGAAATGGATGGTTGTCTGTATGATCTGTAGAATTTTGAGTGCTGGGGCAGCTATATTGAGCTTTTGAAGGTCCCATTGGCCCTCATTCCAGAAGTAAGACACTGATGTGTTGCCTGGTCTGCCCCCTTCTGTTCTGCTGTATGCTAATGGCCCAGAGCCAAGCCAGTTGTCCCACACATTTCCCATTATGGAGTCTCCATTGAATTACTTGTTCTGCTTCTTTCTTGTTGAACATCAATCTTTTCCATGCTTGTGATCGGCCTGAGTCACATTTCATAGATATGGGATTTGATCTTTGACAGTACTTTGCCTTCAGGAATGAACTCCAAAGAGAGTTTGCTGTTATGAAATGCCACCACTGCTTTTGTTCCATGGCTTTACAGGTATCATGAATGGTTCTGAAACCCACACCACCTTCATTGATAGGGAAGAATAGATTAGCCATGATGCCCGGTGATACTTGTGTTTGTCCTTATCCATTCCCCAGAAGAAGCTAGCTGTCAACCTTTTAATTTGCTTCATGACAGTCTTTGGAGGGGATACTGCTGAAAGATGATGGATTGGTAAGGATTAAAGGACATATTTGATCAAGGTTGCCCTACCACCATAGGATAACATCTTACCATGCCAACCTTTTATTCTTCCTAGCACCTTGGAAATGAGACCATTGAAGTGCATAATTCTACTCCTACTAGTATACAGAGGGCAACCCAGGTATGTGGGTGGTGAATCCCTTCTGGAAAAGCCTGTCACTTCTTGAATTCTTCTGATAGCACTTGGGAGTGCATAGGAAGCAGTCATGAATTGACTCTTGATTTGAGGACCTCTCTTCTCCATATAAAATCCATGAAGCAGCTGATCATGGTTCAGAATGTTGAGCATTCTAGACAATAGTTCAACTCCTATGATGAATAAGGATGGGGCAAGTGGATCACCCTGTTTAAGGCCTCTTTTAGACTGAAAAAATCCATATCTAGTGCCATTAACAATGACTGAGTACTAGTTGTTGGACATTGTTCTCTAGATCACGTCAATAATCATTTCACTGAATCCCATTCTCCTAAGCATGATGCAGGTGAAACTCCGGGATACTCTGTCATAGGCCTTGGCCATGTCAAGCATGATGACCACATTTGACCCCACAGTTGGCTTCTTGATACCATGCACTATTTCTTGTCCCAGCATGATGTTTTCAAAGATCTTCCCGCCCTTTACAAAGCCAGATTGGTTTGCAGAGATTATCTTTGGGAGGATGTGATGTGCCGGAGAATTTCGGCACATTTCAATACTAATTGTTTAGATTTTAACTTGTTTTAATGCAATTATCTCCTTGACTTATGTAATTTTGGTGTTTTTACAGTACATAAGGACTAAGGACCCAGGAGCATGGAAATGAAAGCAAAAAAGACAAGAAAAGAGCAAAATGCAGCAAAAAGATGGTTCTGCGACGCATTATGCGATCGCCGATCACATATGCGAGCCGCAGAATGAACACTCAGATCGCAGACAAAAACAGACTCCTAGGCAAATTTCAAGTCAAGAATGCGGTCCACTATGCGACCGCAGAACCTGTCTGTGAGCCGCAAAGTGAACCGCAAACCAACCATGAAGGTTGCTGAAGGACGAATGTGCGATGCAAAATGCGATCGCGTTTCTGCAATGCGAACCGCAGAGTGGAATGCGATGAAGATGTGAAAACTAGGGTTTCAGTCTGCGATGGAGACGTCCAAAATGCGGACCGCATATCGCTTATGCGACGAGAATGCGACCGCATTTCTGACCTGAAAGGGTATTTTTGTCCGTTTTCTGTCACGATTTTCAGTCCACTATAAATAGCTTTATGATGTTTTTGTGGGCTCATCTTGTCTGGTTTTTGAGCTACATTCCAAGACTTTAATACTCCTCACTTTTGGAGTCTTTTGGGGTCAAGAATATTCGCTTAGTAAGCTTTATGGCTTTTATTATCCTCTTACTTTTGTATTTTAGTATGAGTAGCTAACTCTAAATACTTAGGTTGTGGCCCCTAAACGGGTGTTATGTTAATGGGTGTTTAACATTGCATATATATATAATGGTTGGTTGATATTTATTTATTTCTTGTACTTCATTTATTGTTGGTGGTTGCAAACATTAACAAGTGCCATTAAATTCTATTTTGCTTGGGAAAGTGGGTTAGAATTTGGTAGAAGTAAATATCAAAGACTCAAGGCTTTAAACCTTGTTTAATAAAATTGCTTAGGGATAAGTGGGTTTTATTTGGCATGTATTGATTGTTATTAATTGCAACTCTTTTACATTTGGGAAAATTATAAAGAGGAAATACTACTCAACTATTGGGAAATATTGGGTAGTTACTTAGACATCATTTGCATATCAAAGGGACCAACCATTAGAAATATATCATATTAACACCGATAGCATTACATTTCATTAAAGGGGACACAACCTTGGTTTCTTTAATCCTATTAATTACACCTTCAATATTCCAATTGGTTGTTACTTCAAAACAAACTAAATTCATACTTTTGTCACTATTAATTCACACTCTTGTTACCGTTAACTGGATAGGATTACGACTTTAGTCGAGTAACACACTATTCTAGTAACCTTTTCACACCTATTCCCTGTGGGATTCGACCCCAACCGTGTTGGGTTATTATATTTGACATCGACCGCCTTACACAATTTATAAAAGTGTAATTTGAGCGTATCAAATTTTGGCGCCATTGCCGGGGAATACGGTTTTGAAATTACTATTTAGTGTGTGCTTTACTTTACGTCTTATTCTATTCCATCACTCTTTGCTTGCTCTGCTTGGTGTTGATAGGAAAACATGTCTGACTACGAGGAAGAAGTGGAAGAAAATCCTTTTGCGGACATAGATGAGTACATTGATGATACAAATGCTATTGTACCTCCGGCTATTGGTGCCTCAACTTTCAAAGTGGAACATGGTCTAATCCTAATGCTTAAAGCGGAGGGTTTTTTTAGGAATTCTACTGATGATGATCCAACACAACATCTTAGGAACATCTTGGGAGTGTGTGCTATGCATAAGCAAAACAATGTCTCAGATGATGCCCTAAGGTTGAGGGTCTTCAAGTACTCACTAGCTGGAGACGCAAGGAGGTGGCTTCAAAACATGCCACCAAATTCTATTCGGTCTTGGCCTGAACTTGTCCGGGCATTTCTAGCAAAATGGTTCCCATAGAGCAAGAAATCTAAGCTTCGAGATAAGATTTTCTTCTTCAAGCAACAACCAGGGGAACACCTACATGAGGCATGAGATCAATTCAAATTATATTTGGTGAGGTCTCCAAATCATGGCTTTCCAGATTCCATCTTGCTAGAGAAATTTTATATGGGTTTGGATCCTATGAACCAAGCTATAGCGAAGAATGCGGCGGACGGATCGTTTATGGACAAGTCTTTTGCAAGAGTTACGCAAATACTTGACAAGATGGCAAAACACAATCAAGCTTGGCATTCTGAGGATACTTTGGGCGGAGTTGCATATGGTTCTCCTTCCTTGACCAACTTGATCAAGGAGAATCAAGAGAGGGACCAAATAATCGCAGGGTTGGCCACAAATGTAAATGTGTTGACAAAAATGTTCACGGAAAATCAAACCAAAAAGGTGAATGTAGTCGAGGATGTGCAACCCATCTCCAATGAAGGGTTCGAAGAAGCTAACTATATCAACAACCCTCAAGGAGGGTATCAAAGACAACATTATCAGGGTCAAGGGCAACAAAGTCAATGGAGGCCAAACCCGCAAGGGCAAGGCAACCAACAATGGAGGCATGACCAAGTTGGCTCAAACCAAGGGAATTGGAACAACAACAACAACTTTTCTAACCGGAGTTCAAACCCCTATGTTCCTCCAAAGGGTCAATATTCGAACCAAGGGTCCTCTAGTGAATCGAAGTTGGAAGCTATGCTTGAGCGAGTGTTGCAAAATCAAGAAAAATCCGATGCTTCCATGAGGAACATGACCGAGGTTGTTGGATCTCATACCGCCTCCATCCAAAAATTTGAGATGCAAATGAGAGACCTCTCCAAAGAGCAAAATCCAAAACAAAAGGGAACACTCCCCAGTGACACGGTTGCAAATCCAAGAGGTAGCACTTAGTCACCTTGTCGGAGGCTCAAAATTCACAAGTTGATTAGTTTTCCTTGTATATATTGGTTGGTTCAGGAAGGGAAAAACAATAGAAGTCACATGCTTGAAGTACTAGCAACAAACACCACTCATGGTCATTTTTGGTTCATGTTCTGTAAATAGAGTCTAGAGTAGAATAGTGTCGTGTTAATTGCTTGAGGACAAGCAAGAGTTTAAGTTGGGGGTGTTGATGTGCCGGAGAATTTCGGCACATTTCAATACTAATTGCTTAGACTTTAACTTGTTTTAATGCAATTATCTCCTTGACTTATGTAATTTTGGTGTTTTTACAGTACATAAGGACTAAGGACCCAGGAGCATGGAAATGAAAGCAAAAAAGACAAGAAAAGAGAAAAATGCAGCAAAAAGATGGTTCTGCGACGCATTATGCGATCGCCGATCACATATGCGAGCCGCAGAATGAACACTCAGATCGCAGACAAAAACAGACTCCTAGGCAAATTTCAAGTCAAGAATGCGGTCCACTATGCGACCGCAGAACCTGTCTGCGAGCCGCAAACCAACCATGAAGGTTGCTGAAGGACGAATGTGCGATGCAAAATGCGATCGCGTTTCTGCAATGCGAACCGCAGAGCTGGAATGCGATGAAGATGTGAAAGCTAGGGTTTCAGTCTGCAATGGAGACGTCCAAAATGCGGACCGCATGTCGCTTATGCGACGAGAATGCGACCGCATTTCTGACCTGAAAGGGTATTTTTGTCCATTTTCTGTCACGATTTTCAGTCCACTATACATAGCTTTATGATGTTTTTGTGGGCTCATCTTGTCTGGTTTTTGAGCTACATTCCAAGACTTTAATACTCCTCACTTTTGGAGTCTTTTGGGGTCAAGAATATTCGCTTAGTAAGATTTATGACTTTTATTATTATCTTACTTTTGTATTTTAGTATGAGTAGCTAACTCTAAATACTTAGGTTGTGGCCCCTAAATGGGTGTTATGTTAATGGGTGTTTAACATTGCATATATATATAATGGTTGGTTGATATTTATTTATTTCTCGTACTTCATTTATTGTTTGTGGTTGCAAACATTAACAAGTGCCATTAAATTCTACTTTGCTTGGGAAAGTGGGTTAGAATTCGGTAGAAGTAAATATCAAAGACTCAAGGCTTTAAACCTTGTTTAATAAAATCGCTTAGAGATAAGTGGGTTTTATTTGGCATGTATTGATTGTTATTAATTGCAACTCTTTTACATTTGGGAAAATTATAAAGAGGAAATACTACCCAACTATTGGGAAATATTGGGTAGTTACTTAGACATCATTTGCATATCAAAGGGACCAACCATTAGAAATATATCATATTAACACTGATAGCATTACATTTCATTAAAGGGGACACAACCTTGGTTTCTTTAATCCTATTAATTACACCTTCAATATTCCAATTGGTTGTTACTTCAAAACAAACTAAATTCATACTTTTGTCACTATTAATTCACACTCTTGTTACCGTTAACTGGATAGGATTACGACTTTAGTCGAGTAACACACTATTCTAGTAACCTTTTCACACCTATTCCCTGTGGGATTCGACCCCAACCTGGTTGGGTTATTATATTTGACATCGACCGCCTTACACAATTTATAAAAGTGTAATTTGAGCGTATCAGTGCTCTTATAAGGAACTTACCTCCTTATTATGACCATCTTGAACATTTGCTCCTCTCCTTTTTCAAGGAGTTTTATCTTTGGAACCGATTAGTTTATTACGTTTCATGTGTTCCATAGAGTATGTCCACCATGGACTTTATTCTATTTCGAGCATTAGTAGCTGAAATATGACATTTAGTTTTGGGTCAGCAAATGCACATGGCAATATTTTGCAAATGAATTGTCACTTGAACTTCAAGTTCATATTTTCTTGTACGAGGATCTAAGTGTACTCATAATAATTCATTCCATGTATTACTTTTTTTAGCTGCTCATTTTCTCCCCCTAATGTTGGGATCACCAACACATATCCCCAACCTTCTTTGGGGACCAATCTTTGTGCAGTTTGGTGGAACAATTAAATCATATAGTACATCCATATTTCTAGATGAAAATATTTGGTTCCTAACCCTGAACCAGTTGTGATGGGGAGAATGTATCAT